GAGGTTCTGAAGATGCGTTATTAGTCTGTCCAGGTAAATGAGAAAGAGTGGATTTTTAAGTCATCACTATGAAAAACCAAAGCACCAAAGAATTTAATGCTAAATTAGTTTTAAGGCTTACATCCTGCATTTCAGTTGGTAGAATGCTAAAATAGAAATCTTCTGACAATTTTCTCTTCTCTCCCTATTGTATAAGCAAATTGTACCATAGAATGGCTCTGAGAGAAATAGAGGGAACTAGGTCAGAAATCTTAAAAGTGCAAAAAATAATGAAATAAAGTAGTATCTTAACATTATAAAGATGCAGCAGCTTGTGGATAACAGGGAAAGAACACTAACCAATGATTCAGCTCACAAACCTGACACAATTTAGCATCGAATCACCAATGAGATCAAAGTTTCTTGACGTCTTGGTGCTATTCAAAAAAATAAAATAAAATAAAAATTTCTGTTCTTCTATAAGTTAATATGAACCATATAAACACAGTAGAAACCAGCATCAGCTAAACCAAACAAGACAACATTAATAATGCTGCATGAAATTCATAGTCAAGAATTGAAAAAGCAGATCAGATTAATCTTTACTAAACTTAACCCAATATTTAAGTCAGCAAATGCCATTACACAACAACCACAAACTTTCCAGGATAAAAGTTACTGCAACGTTAACAATCATTAAATGTGAATGTTCTTCAACTTCATATATTTTATCTTTCCAAAATTTTCGATATTTCCACTCTAAAATTCAAATTTCAATTGCTATTCACTAATTACAAGAATCATCAATCGTCAAACAAAGAAAGCAAACCTTCCATGACCACAAGTGTAGTTATAGAAGTCTCTGCCATTGAGAATAATGCAGATAGACCTAAAGTGTGGCCAGAATCACCCCTTGGTCTTTGAAAATCTTACAAACTGTGAAACCTTAGGCCACGCATTCCTCAACAACAATGCCCACTGCTAAATCACTTCGTACCTTGCATTCACCACTTCCTCCACCGCAAGCACCCTCTTGCACCAGAAAACCAAAAAACCACAAAACATTGTCCCCAGAAAGACCCCCCACTTCAGCAAAATCTTCAGAGACTCCAAATCCAGGCCCAAAACCTCACCTTGGTCACCAACCAGATCATTGTTTTTTCACTTAACGATCTCAGAAGAGCTCTAGCACCAACAATGCCAAGTATTCACAATCTCAAAGTGTAAATTTCACCAAAAATGAACGGATTGAAACAATTGGAGACTATACGACATGGGAAGTGACTACTTTTGGATGAAAATTTTATTGAGCATTTCAAATTTCAATTGTGTTGCACGAAACCCAAACACTTGGATCTGGAAATGAAGGGTGGTCGATTGATAACAGCGGATTTAGGTGCCTCAAGCCCCCACAATAGTTATAGCTGAAGTAAAATGTTAAAAATTCAGGAAAAAAAAAAAAAAACCAAAACTGTATTCCCTTTCTCAATCCTATTCCTTCTCCCGTTGGAATTGAGCATGCTAGGTGACGAGGTAAAAACAGAGGTTGAGGGAGAATAGGATGGGTATTGATGGATTTGATGCAGATCGAACGCAGGAGTTGGGATTCATAATAGAAGAGGAACCCTAAAGAGGTGAAATTGAGGCAAGTCTGTGATGCTAATAATGTCCCTTCATCTGTGGAAATGGAGGCTACTTCCATTTGGATTCTTTCTGTTGTGAAGGAAGATGCTGCCGAAAGCGAGTGTGAGAGAGAGACCAAAGCCCAAATTATAAGACTTACCCTTCTCAACAAGACTATTACAGTTATATCCCCAAGACAAGGAAGCTGTTGGTTCATTGACATCTTTACACCAAATGTCATAAATCTAACACCCAATCCCCTCAGCAGCCATGGTTTATTTCATATGGCAGGAAAAAGAGGGAAGAGTTTTAAAAAATTATTCAAATTAAGTGATCGGAATCAAAACCGTGCCATAAACTAGTCAGTCGTACTGGAAACTGTATTATTTGTCCATCTATGATATACCCCCAATAACTTTAAAAATATCCATTTTCTTCCAAAAAGTATCAATTCCCTAAACACCAAAAAATTGAAAGGCAAAGCAAGAATCCAAAAGCCAATAACCAAGTTTGACAAAATCCTTATCTCTACAAACATAAATCAAAGAACCTAAGGGTAGTAGCAAAGAGCGCAAAGGTTGAGACTTGAAACAGAGGACAGAGGGCTCCATAATTTTTTTTCAAACAAAGTAATTGCATTTTCCATACATAATTAAACAACACCCAATTGTCAAGAAATAAAACCCATAAATAAAAATATCAAAAGAAAATTCCTTACTATCAGTTGCCGGAAAGACGGTCTGTGGCGGTCAACTCTCTAATCGGTACAGTCCTCGTCTGAAAGCGCTTTGTCCAGCTTAACGAATTGAAGGTCTGAGGGCGTAGCAAGTAATTCCGATGAAAGCCGGCATAAGACTACACTGGCGGAGATGGAGCCGGCGGAAAGAGGCTGAACCTTGGGTACTCTGGGTCGGGGATTTTGTACTTTGGGCCAAAGGTTATTGTTTTCTCATTTTAGGCCGTCAATGTTTATTTATTTTATTTATTTAATTTTTTATGAGAGCCATCGATGTAGAATTAATTTTATAAATTGCAGCTTTTTTACAATTTTGAATGTTACATATTTTATTTTGAAAAAAAAAAAAATTGTGTAATCCAAACTGTGTTACACTAGGATAATGCAGGGCTTTTCCTATCTAATGATCATTGTCTTTTTTTTTTACAATTTAATGTAATTTAATCTAACTTTTTTTTTTTTCTGAATCATACTACGATTGAATAACTACGTTTGAAAGAAAAAAAAAAAATCAAACTTTTTAATCAAAAGAATATGCAATGTAGCTAATTTCCATTGTCTTATGTATCTTCAGCAACTACATAGCAATCAGAAAGGCAATTCCCTTGTCTCTTTTGAAATGCATTCTCAGCATAGGTAATGTTATCCAATTTATCACCGTTCCGTTTCCTCTTCATGATTTTGGGAATCAATTGAGTTACACTTTTGGCCTCTGACGTTGCTTCCCCATTGTTTATCTGCTCAAAACAAACAGCACTAACCTTTCAGGCATTTGTAGCTAATACCTGCACCAGAGACAACGTTTCACTCACATTAATCAGTTACTCAATTGGATGCTCAAGATTTAGTCTTATTAGTGATAAAATCAGCATATGAATGGCAATGATATGCGCATGAAATCTTATCATTCTCATTGTGATTGCAATATACATATATACAAACTGTCAGCTATAATCAAGCCTAAATCAGTGATTCTATACAGGGAATGCATTTACTGGTAT